TCAATGTACTAAAAGAAAGGCAAAGTAATTTTACAAAGATAAATGCTGCAGTGCTCTTCTTAATAATGAAAAGGACAGCGAGGGCACAAGGCCGAACATGCATATTCACGACAGAAACGAATGTCTATTAGGACATTTGCGAAGATGGACAGGTAACGACGCCCACCTATCTACTCTAACTATTTAGTAGGCGCTTATGTGGGCTAGGCACTGCCTTAGGGGCTGAGGCTCCAGGGCAGAGCAAACCTAGTGTGTCTGATGGGTCCCTGGGAGCCTGTCTTTGTGCAAAACAAACAAATGGAGCCTCCCTGGGCACGTGCAGTCCTGGGGGTGCAAAGCTGGCGAGGAAAATGCACCCTTCTGCAAAGTCCAGGGCACCTGTGCCCGAGGGAGCGCAGAGCTGCGGGGGCTGGGCCCTGCAGCCCTCACCTGGTGCAGAGCACAGCTGGCACAGCCATACAGGTTAGTGAGGAAGGACGCTGAAGAAGCCATGCACCGATTACCACCGCCCAGGCCAGTTCTCTGGAAGAGCGTGCGGCATGGGGAACCGGGAGGCTCTGGAGCCGGGAGGCAGCGGCTTCTGGAAGGAGCTAGGAGAGGTTAGGGGTGGGGAGAGTCTCCGTGCGGAGGTCGGCCTGCACCAGCCTCCCTGGCTGCGCGGCGCGGGGCACGCCGCTGGGACTGCAGTCTGGACCGACAACAGCAGGGCGCAGCCGGGGCTGATCGGAGGCTCCTGTATGTGTCAGCCCAACATGGACGCTGACCTCCTTCCTACGAACAATGACGAAGCACTGCGCGGTTTTAAGGGCGGTGACATGATTCTATCTGTGTTTCTGGGAGGTCCCTGCGCTGGCAGCATGGAGAGTGCACTGCAGGGGACGTGGCCATGGAGCAGGAGACTTCAGGTGGCCACTGTGCTGTCCAGGGGGAGCTGCTGGTGGCCTGCCCCACACGGGACAGAGGGGAGGGGAAGGTGCCGTGACAGACACAGCACGGGGGTCTGGCAGACCTTGGAGGCAGACTGTCCACAGGGTGATGGAGGAAGGTGTCAGGTGTGCCTGTTTTTCCTGTACAATTTCAGAAGTTAACACTTTAAAGAGTTTGGTATTATATTAGTTTCCTGGGGCTGCTGTAACAAATTACCCCAAAAGCAGTGACTTACACCAGAGATGTGTTCTCTCACGGCTCTGGAGGCCAGACGTCCACTATGGAGTGGTCGGCAGGGCCGCGCTCCTGCCCAGAGCTCTGGGGACATTCCTCCCCGTCTCTCCCAGCTGCTGGGGCTCCTGGCACCCCCAGGCTGTGGCCGCACCACCCAGGTCCCCGTCTTTGCCTCAGCCCTCACATGGCCTCTTCTTGTGTCTGTGTGACTTCCCGTTCTGTCTTCTGCGAGGACACTTGCCACTGGATTTCAGGCCTCTCCAGATAATCCAGAATGGTCTCATCTTGAGATCTTTAGTTTAATGACATCTGCAAAGATCCTTTTTTCCAAGTAGGGTCGCATTCACGGGTTCCAGGAGTTAGGGCGTGGACACAGCTGGTCACCCCACGACAGACATTATGTGAATCGTCCTTTATGTGCCCACAGGAGGGGCTACCAGACGACCCGTGTGCACACAGCACTGTCTCCACACGTCACGTGGGGGCGCTGAAGGTCTGCCTTCAGTTCTCAGGGACCTCGAGTAATGGCCAAATCCAGGGACACGCTGGTCCTGGTGAAGCTTGCTCTCCGTGACATCGTGTGTGTGCTCCATCGCTGAGTGCTGGAACCTTCCACCCTTCCGTCTCCTGTCCCTCCTGTTTGTGAGGCCCTGGAGGGGCGTGACTGTCTTCCGCTCCTCATGCCACTCGTGACCTTCTGTGAGGCTCTTCACGTTCTGCTGTAAGGGATCCCAAGCAGAGTTTTCTGCTGTTTTTATCAATCACTATTAGCTATTTAATTAATTAAAAATGGCTGAAGAGCTCCTGCAAATTTGTTTTGAATGGAGGCAGAATACGAATAAAAACCAAAACACAACACTTATTGTACAGTTTTTATGTAGCTGCTGGTGACATCAAGATGGAAAGTTCCAGTTCTTACATTTTCATAGCTCAGTCTGTTGGGCAGATCCATCTGAACAAAATAGTTATAAATCAGAGGTAACTACTGTGCTACGGTCCTGCCTGAAATACTAGGGGGGCACAGAGCAGGGAGCAAATAGTTGTTCTGGGGGTGGCGAGAGGTGGCTTCAGATGGGTGACCTTAGAGTTTAGTCTGAAGCGTGAGTAGGTATTTTCCTGGGAGAGGACGTTCCAAAGAGAGACGAGACCAGTAGGGAATCCTGCTGAAATCCCAAAGACAATACCAAGGGTAACAATTCAGACGTGTTTCAAGGACAGTGAGATTTTAACAAATACGGAAGGAGGGCAGGAAGGGGTTAAATGCCTCGGCACTAGGTGTGCGTGCCAGGGGACAGCAGAGTCAGAACCACCACAAGGCCACCCCTTGGCAGACCCTGGGTCTTTTTTTTAAAAATGAGGTGTCTGCACTTTCAGATGTTAATTGGAAATGTGGTCTGGGTTTTCTCCACGACAGGCTGTAAATCTATTTTTTAGTCAGGGCTTTGCTCCTTTGGATTAATATATAATGTCCTTGAAAGCCCTCAGTTTTCTTATTTTTTTTTCCCTAAGAAAAAAGGTCCTCTTTAAAAAGCTCCATGAGTGCTGCATTTAGCTCATCTGAACAAAGGTCACAGCATCTCTGAGCAGTAAACACGATCACCAGACCTTTCCAGCGTCTCGATGTTGGCAGCATGCCTCCGTCGCTGGAATAGAAGCCTGGCACTCCAGGGGCGTGTGGCAGCTGTGGGCCCATGAAGCCCCTGGGCATCTAGAAGGGGCACATGCGCCTGATTCTCCTCAACCACAGCCAAGAAGGGAATAAAGGCAAAAAGCTCCCTTCTGCTCGAACCAGCCAGACTGCTGAGCTAGTTTCGAGCATGTCTGGTCTCCTGCTTTCAAGTTGGCCTTAGAAACCAAGTGGGGACTAGGAGGTTAATTTGAGAAGCTGCTGTCAAGAATCTAAGATTCCTCTGCAAGTCGGCAGCACCTGGATTCTATTCCTAGAGCATTTCCTTCTGCAATGAGGATAATATCAGCAATTAACATACCCATATTTCTAAGGCTTTACTCTTCCGGGAGCGCTCAAGCCTTGGGAGAGGTCAGCTAGTGACTTTGTGCAGTGTTTCAAATTAGGCTGCTGCCTGTCTTATGACCTTGAAGATTTCAGTGACAATTAATATTAAATCACTTTTGCAAGGACTCCCCGTAAGAAAGCGATAGAAAAGAGGCAAAGAAGTCAGACCTCAGACCTTCTGAGAAGTGTCCCCACCGCTGCTCCAAGAGCAGGACGCGCACGGCAGTGCCCACCCAGCTTTAAGCAAGAAGGAAAAGAAAAAAGAGAGAAGCCACATTATCAACAGAGAAATAACTTCTTAGCAGCTATGAAATCACAGGCTGGACGAGCCTTTATTCTGTGTGGTGGGAAGCTGCCCGGATGCTGAGGCACGAAACTCGGGTCTGAATGCTGTCCCTCCCTCTGGTTAGCTACGTTATCATGGGCAAGGCTGCTGGCACCTGAACCCAGTCTCCTTGGTCTGAAATGAGGATGTTAACAGCCACCTGACAGCATGTCAGACTCCACCACCCTTCATGGAACCAACGCAGCTGAGTTCTGACGGTCCCCGTCCCATTCCTGCTCCCCTACTGTCTCTCTCCACAGGGCTGCTGGCAGGCCTTTCAAGTCCTAATTCAGGCTGTGTCGTTCCTTTGCCTTAAACCATCTGTACTTAGAATGAAACATGAACTCCTTCCCAAGGACGCCCTGGGGAGGCTGACCCTTGGTCCTCTCTGCCCAGCACCCCTCACCCACTGAACGCACACACCGCCCTGTCGTCCTTCCCCACACAAGCCTGCCTCACCCCGAGACCCCTTCGCCGCCAGGCTGTCGGCGGGGAGGCCTCTCCCCGATTCCCGGACAGCGGCTCCGTCTGCTCTTCCTTAACTCTTCCAGCGCTATCCGCCCTGGCCACCGTACCGAAAGGAGCATGCCCGCCACTTGCTAACAACGTCCCTCCACGGCAGCTACCACGATGTGAACTAACCTCGTTCACGGTCAGTTCCCCACGTCTGTGAGCTCGGTCAGGGCCAACACCTCGCTCACTGTTTCCACAGTATATTCCCGAGTTTAGGGCAACACCTGACCATCCAGCATGTGCTGCGCACTCAGCACGCATGTGTGTGGGGAACAAGTAAGTTCAAATACAGTAATGCGTGCAGAAGTGACTAGCACACAAAATGCTTACATTTACTGTTTTCTTTTTAAAATTTAATTTATTTTTTATTTGCTTACTCTTGGGGACTTACTTGTAGAATAAACTTCTCTTGGCCAATAGGAAATAAAAGCAATAGTTAATAGATGCTGGGCCATTTAATAATGACCTCATTTGTCAACCCTCTAAGATGTGTACTGTTATTATTATTGTTAAGATGAGGAAACCGAGGGACACATGACAGAGGGACGAAACTAGTAAGTGGGAAACTAGGATTTGGACTCAGGCAATTTGGTCCCACAGCTGTGATGATGTCACTCCCTCTCAAAGCTGCTGTCTTAGCCCGCCATCCACGTCTTCCAACAACCTGACAACAACGAACTCTCCCAACCTCTTCTTTCACGATTCACTCATTCGTTCGTTCATTCATTCATTCATTCATTCACATAATTCAGTCAAGAGTCTCAATCTGCCTTATGTGAAACACTGACCTACGTCTCAGGACCAAAGAGCTGTATGAGCCAAGTCTTTTGGGGAAGAGAAGGGAGAACAGAAATGTGACAGCCCTTCTTTTATCAATGCTTTCAGCAGAATCAGACCTCTGATAAGCTGGAGCAGGACATCTCCTCATTTTACAAGCTAAGACTTTTCTTTTATGACAAATGCCAGACTTCAATGTTTACGAGGTACCTGATTTCTCCAAACACTGCCCCAGCTCTCAGAGTGACCAGAACTTGCGCACCATCACAGCCTCCAAGAACGTGGACTTCTCCTTGCTTGACGATGTACATTTCCTTGCCAATTTCTCCCTGCGTGCCAAATATAAAGAACTTTATCTTGACATTTATTCCCTAAATAAAGAAACATAAACTCCCCTAGAGGAGTACATCGAAATGAGGGGAGCGAGGAATCAATGGGAAAGCGATAATCACCTGAGGCCTGAGGTGGTTACGGGCATTGGCTGGACCTGTCAGATGGAAGGACGTGGGGAGCACATGACAGCAGGGCTGCCAGTGGACACGTGATGACATGTCAGTCAGAACATTGTTCCAGCACACGCCACAGGATGAGGAGATCAGAGAGGCAGGCATGGCCACCCTGGCTTGGGGACCACTGCTTTGCTCTGAGGACGGTGCTTGGTCTGGCCAGAGAGGGGCTGCAGCCATGCCACTCTTCGCCTGCAGCACTCAGGTCTGTTTTAGAAACTGGGGCGTAAGAGCCATTAAGCCACCATTCTTGTTCCAAATTGAGACACAAATGTTACCGCGGCAGGTTGTTTGACTCAGGACTCCTGGAGCCAGGGCAGGGACCCTTGTCAAGTCCCAGGGTGTTCACATGGTCGCTGGTTAATGGCATTATTCTGCACGCCTGCAGCAGCATGGTGGGACACACGGGCTGTCGGCACTGTTTCACGGAAACACCAAGATCTGTCAAGGGTACTTGGTATCGTGTGGGGTCTGGACCAGGGCTGGTCATGGAGCCGCTCGGCGACCAGGCCCACTGACGACTCTGGACCCCAGGACGCAGGTGGGCTTCCCTCGCTGGGGACATTTTGCCCTTGTCTCTACGGTCCATGGCTGGAGAGACAAGCACGTCCACGTGACCACCTCAGGAACAGGACCCAGGACACCTGCAGATTCTCTAGTCTTCGACAGTGCGTGTCTTTTTCTCGCTGCTCCTGCACTGTATGCTTTGCTCTAATACATCGTAAGCCATAAATATAACTTTATGTTGAATCATGCAAATCACCAAACCAGTGGGTGGTTGTGGGGCCCTTGGAATGTACCTTCTCGCTCCAAGATCCCAAAGAATAAATGTGTCTTATAAGACACCTCAGTGACATCTGGGCCAAGAGAAGCTGTGGGACTCTGAATGAGCCAGTTGCGTACTGCAGGCAACCTATTTCGATAATAGTAGCTATACTCATATCTCAGCAAATTAAGTCTTGATCACCCTGAGCTATAAAAAAGCAGCATGACACTTCCTTGGTTCAGGAGGGGACTGGGTAATTTGAATTAATCAAGTATGTTTGTTAGCCATGTTTTCACAGGATTAGAATACCTAAAATGAACTCAGGATTGCACGTTGATTATCGTTTACGCGCTCTGGTGGCTGAGACGGCCACTGTGTCCCAGGGCTGAGCAGGGCTTGCGACACAGGCACTCATTTATGAAGGAGGGTAAGAGAATTGAACCACTCTCTGGAAAGCTTTGAAGTCTTTAACACCAAGTATTATTCTCCTGAACATTAATAATTGTTGTGTAATAAATCTGGGTTGAGTTTGAAGTTTTCCCATTCTACCTCTTAGTTAAGCTCTGTGAAGTCCAAATGCTCACTTGATCTTCCCATTACCTTGGTGAGAAAGGTGGAGTAACGACTATCCTTTCCATTTTACAGAAGGAAAAATAAAGGCATAGACTGGTTTAGCTAACTAGCCAAAGCCCCATGGCAGTCCTCAGAAGCAAAAGGGAACCTAGGACACGCATCTCCTAGCTGAGCAATGCAGGACGTCTGTTCATATTTTACGCTGCGCAGAATAGGAAGCAAACAGTTATTCTCAAATATAAATCAAAGTAGAAATTCCAACAGAGATGGGTTTTATTATGGTGATTTCCATGGTGTCACAGTTCCTTCTAACAGAACCTGCTACTTTGCAACTGCAAAGCACTTCCATAGTGCCAACTCCTTCTCGCAGAAGGCCCAGTGAGGTCAGACAGGACAGAGGCCACCTTCCTTATTTAAAAGTTCGTGGGTGAGGCTTGCACAGCTGTGCCATGCGCAGACTCGCACGGCTGGCAGATGATGGCATCCGAGCCAGCAGCACCTGTGTCACCTGACTGAATGACACCCACAGATAGACCATGTGTAACAAAAAGTCCAATGCCAAGACTGAGCTCTCAGAAACCAATAAAATCGCTATGAATTATGTTTGAAATAAGGGAAAGTATCTGAAAATTAGTGTTCCAGGAGCTACTCCAGGAAGTAATGATGAGAACAGGGTCACATTCTTTATTCTTTGCATGAAGAATTCTCAAGGTGCTGGAATGATGTTTTCAAAGGCAGTTATTACAACTGAGTGGAGGAAGAAGTGCATAATGGGAACTTAAATACAGTTCAACACTTTTAATTATTTTTTAATGATCATTTCAATAATTTTCCAAGGAGATCTGGCATAATCAACGAACCCAAATTTCCACTACTTCTTGCATATTTCTAGGCTAATTTAAGCCTTTCCAGCAAGTTTAATTAGCATTCAAATGAAGCAGACATTCCTCAGAGCATGGGGTCTGGCAGCAAGTGCAAAATAAGATCAGTGGTTGCTCTATGGACTAATGTGGAGAAAGTGTAGACATGCAAGAGTTTCGTGGAGAGGGCGGAAACCCCTAGTGAGTGAGCACTTTACATTTTCCGGGTTCCTGGGTGGGGGGCTACTTCTAAGGCTAGTGGGGGCATCATGGAACTCTAACTCTTGCAAATGATTCCTGGGGAAGCTCCCAAACATTCTCTGAAGCAGTCCGAGGGCGAGGCGGATTTCCACCTGTGCACGACGTGTCTCCACAGGACACTGTTTGACTTCGTCCTTCACCACGATCCCTGTTGATCACTTATCTCTGTTCCTCGAATATGCCAAGCTCTGTCCTGCCTGACGGCCCCAAGTCTTCATGTCAAATGCTGTCCTCGCCACTTTCTTCCTCTCCAGAACTGTTTCTTTTTAGGTTTTGCAGAGGTCATGCCAGACAACCCAACACTTCCCCCTTTCTGCTGTCACTGCACGCTTTCCTGGCAACTCCTGTTTTTCATTTATAGAAGTTAGCACATTTTGGAGTTATGCATTTATTTAATGTCCTTTGTTTATTGTTTGTCTCTTCCATATGGCCAGTGAGTCTCAATTTTGGCTGCATTTTAGAATCCTCTGGGAGCTTTTAAAAAATATGGATATGTGGGCTCCACCCAGACCAACTGAATTTCCGGGGATGGAGCCCAGACTTCTACATCCAGGTCACTTGATGTACATTGTGAACTGAATGGTCTGGCACTAGACTATCAGCCCCTGGAGGACAAAAACCATGTTTTCTTCCTCACTGCTGATTATACCCAGGACTGGCACAGTGCCTGGCCCGTAGTATTCAAAAATACTGAGTTTGACTGAATAAACAATGCTAAGGTTTCTAACTCGTGACTTGCCCTCTGCAGACAGCTTCTTCCTTTCAGCCTTGGTGCCTGCTCATTCTCGCCTCCGTCTGGAAGGCCTGTTTTCTCTTGGTTCATGTGAATCCATTCGCTAATGCTGGCTTGAACACCATCTTCTCCAGGACACCTGGCTGGTGCCCCGGTGGGCGGTATCCTCACTGCAGCAGCTTCTGCATACTCCACCACGACGCTGATATGGGGTTCTGGAACGATCCATGTGCTTCTCGCCCCGGCTCCTGGGAACCCCCAGGATTGTGGATCATCTCTCATTTCTTTGAACTTCCTATCTTCCTCCACTTTTTATTTTGGTTACTGACTTTACTATTAATTTAGTCTCTCAAGGTTTAAACCCAAGGTCATCATTCCTTCTTTCCTCCCTTACATTGGGAATCAGTGTGCAAAAACGTTTATTTTAGAGTTATTGATAATAGCAAATATTTGGAAATTGGATATATTCATAGATTGGGATATTATGCAGCTTTGAAAAGGCCATCGATTACTTAGTAATATGTAAAATGTTCATACGATATACTGTTACCTGACAGAACAAGTTTCAAAACATAAGTGCAGTATGAGGCCAATTTTATAAAAGTATCCTTCAATCAGTATAAAAAGATAGGTCAAAATATATTAATAGTGATTATTTTTGGGTGTGGGATTTCTGTCTTTGGGCTCTTATGTGTTTTCCATTTTAAAAACAGTGAACATGTATTACTTCTGTAATCATAAAAAGCACAGTGAAATTTTTCAAAAGGTGACACTGAGTATCCACTAGCTCGGTGAGCTAAATGGAGGTAACTGATAGTTTGCGGAAGGCACACAAAAGGGCAGAACCGCCTTTTATTTCTGGAACTTTTCCCTCCACTTTAAATATTTGGAATTAATGGGGTGCGATGCTTGAGGGTTTACATTTATACAAAGCAACTTTCCAGGCTACCCACTTATGTCCCAGAGGTAATGAAGCCATATTGTCTTGTTCCGTTTTGAACTCTGAGAGCACATTATTGTTTTACAGAATTGTACATCCTAATTATTTCTGTACTATGGAATCCACCCGGGACAAATTGTGTTTAAACTATGCTCTTGACTTATGTCTGAACTCCTCAAATGTACTTATATACTTGTTGTGCAACTGGAGAATAGCACGCACTTACCTTTTTGCAGACAAAGTCACCAGGTAAATAGACGGTGGATTTCAGTCTTAACAACATGTCACAAAGCATCTGTGTATCACAACCCTGAAGAAAAAAACAATAAAGGGAAAAATAATTCTTACAGACACAGCCAACAGGCCAATATTCCAAGTGATTTTAAAATGCAATAACAATAAACAGTAATAGATGAGTCTGTGTTACCACTACAGTATTAGTTACCAATGGATATGGACTTGTCTTGACCCAAAATTTAGGGTAAAAGAAGCCCCTATTATATAATGGCAAGAGTTTAGATGCTGGTCAGACAGATGTGGGTTTTAAGCCTGTCTCCAGTATGTGTTACCATGTAACCTCTCATGCCCTCAGTTTCCTAATCTGTTAAACACTTATCTCATAATGGTAATTTTTAAATTTGTAAGAAACAAATTTGATTTGTCAGGATCTATGTCTACATTTTTAATCTGTAAATAATTTTAATTTATCTATATGACAAGCTAAAGAAAAAAATCTATAGATGCTTCAAAAATCTCTTTTTACATAGTAGGTTTGAATCTTTCGCTTTCGCCAAATATTTTAATTTTTCCTTCCAGAGCTGCCTACAAGTAGCAGCTCTCTTCTCGTGGTCGGTCCTGTCGTCCCTTAGGAAATTATGATTTTACAGAGAGCTAATCATGGCGAGTAGCAGCGGGAGGGGGAGGAGACAGACGCCAAGGGCCGATTTGGGCCTGAGCGCCCTTCTCTGAGCAGTCGCCCGTTTTCTGTAACGATCTCAGCAGCAAACGCCTGACCTAGATCCATACGAAATTTAGACCTCGGGATGCTTGACAGATAAGGAAAGTTAATAATTTGTGATTGAAGTATCTTCAAGTAGCCATTGGTGAGAAGTATGCAGATGAAAGTGCTGTTAGAATTTTAAAAATTTATTTGAGAAAGTATAGCCTTTGGTTATCTGGGATAGAAGGGCCGGGGCCGGCAGGAAAACCTTCACACAGCCCAACAAGTATGATGAGAAGCTGCCGGGAGCAACTCTTTCTACCTTGGAGCCATGGAAGGCGAGCGAGGGTACGCCCAGGTGAGGGGGTTTGACGCCAACATGGTAGACGTTAATCCTGTCATAAGACATCCCAGGTAAGTAAGAGCCCATACGATATCTGAGAGTGGGGGTTTCCTTCCGCCTGGGAGGGGGAGTGGGGGAGAGGGGAGCGTCAGAGAGGGGCTCATGTGGGTGACACGTTTGAGTCACCTGAGGATGAGTATGACAGGTGAAGATATGGGAGATTTATAGGTCAGAACACCACACATAAGTAAACCAGCGCCCTCCCTCTCTCTCTCTCTCTCTGTCTCTCTCTCTCCTCTCTCTGTATATATGTAGATATGATGTAGATATGATTCAAATCAACAAATAATGTGGTCTGCACAAAAGCAAGGTATAGCATATACTCAGTATGGTTCCCACTATGAAAAACCTACATGAACTAATACTGGCTGTCATTGATGTTTATATGGAGATAAAGGAAAATGATGAAAATGGGACTGGAAGGATCCCCTGAATAATCATCTTCTTGGCCACCACTGGGCGGGAGGAAGTGGGGATGGACCGGGGAGAGGCACTGATGGGACTTCTACTTTAATTTTCACCAGCTTTAATAAAGTGAAACGCACATCCCCCGGTTGTTTGCAGGAACAAAGCCCCCTTTGCGAAGGAATGCACTTCATGGTTTTCTTCTGTCTTTTAGGTGAGCCACTGGCCGGAAGCACGACGGGAAGCCCCGTCAGCAGGAAGGGTTAGGCCCTGAACGGAGGAGCCAGCACGTAGCGCCTTCCTCGGTGGTGCTTCATGGGCAGCTGTAAGCTTATAGCTTGGGTTTCTCAGAGAAAAGCATTTGAACCACTTTAAACATGAATTTTGATGAATATAATTGCATACATCAGGTCATGTAAACGGAACATAGCAGCTGTATGGAGTAAAAACTTGCAATTCAAATTCCATCCGTTAAGTGGTTCTGTCCCTAACGGCTGCTTTACGGACAGATGCCCTGGCTTTGGGGCCATGGCAGTTGAAGAGCAGCCTCTTCTCATCTGCACCCAGGCTTTGTGAAGTGAAGTTGGCATTAGGAAGTTGCCATGTTTTATGATGTGTTTGAAAACAATTATCTTTTTTCCCCTCCCAGAAAAAGATTCTTTTCTGGAGATATACTTAGCTCCAATATTATATGATAAAAAAAATTACATCCTGGGGTGAGCTTTTTCCTCTTGTAATGTAGCTCCCTTTCCTTATAGATATCATGAGGAAATTTTCTGATTTACAGGAAGTCAGTACTGTTTCCTAAATGTCCCCTTTTCTATAAAGTGAGAGCACCTGCATAGGAGTTAACACCAACGTTATATTAACATCTAACGTTTGTATTACACGTTCTCCTTTCTTATCTTTACCTGTTTAATTCTTCCGAACTCCCCATGACACCCAGTATTAATTAATATCCCGTTATCACCTCTGCTTTTTACAGGAGGGAACCGAGTCAGGGAGTCCACTGACTGTTTCCCTAAGTTCACATGTGCAGATACCGGAGGAAGAATATCACCAGAGCGTATTTTTTTTAAAGCTCCACTGAGCAACTCGAGGGCAGATCTGCATGTTCTTCACTTCCGTATCCCCAGCGCCTCTCCAGGGCTTTTGAGGTGCCAGGCACTAAATAAATATGGACTGAGAGAAATGACTGCTGTATAAAAACCACGCATACAGATTTGAATAAGGATTCTGGAGGTTTGAATGGGGTTGGGAGAAACTCTATTTTGATTCAAAACATAACCTGTAGCTTAGATGGTAGTCCCCACGCCCCGGAAGTTCTCCTTCCAGCAATGGCAGGCACGGAGCCCAACTGCAGAGTTGGTCAAGTTTATCTTTGAAAACCTTCCCTGTAGGATTTCTCCATTTCTAGGCTCATTCCTGCTTCTTCAAAACAGAACTTACACTATCAGTAATTTACAAGTCGCTGTGACTGAGTCACCCTCAAGTATCACCAGGGTCTTCAGGGATGTGTCCAGCTCAGCCTTGTTTAGGAGACGCTTTGCTCCACCGTAAGTGCCATTCCCAGTGAGCAGCTGATAGGGGGGACCGAGGGCCGAGAGCCCCGCACTCAGGCGCCCGTGCCACTGACTACCCTGGCATGCTATGGCTGGGAGCTGGTAGGAGCAGTGTCCAAGGGGTAAGTAATTTGCAAAGTACTATAATGTCATCAGTTATTGACTTCTAGGCGATATTGGACTCAGCCCTATGTTCAGTATTTGCAGACATTAGCAAAAGTCCTTTCCATCAAGTTTTCCTTGAGAACTGGCACTAATTCTATTTTTTTAGGAGCCCCGATGTCACACAAAGTGGGAAGGCCCAATTTAGTCCATCTTCCTGGGGTCAGGCGGGGCCCCGGGAAGAACCTAACGTGACCTGCGTGGAGTCACTTTCCTTTCCCAGTTAGTGAGAACATGTTCTACCTGTGCCAGGTGCTGACACAGGCACTTGACATGTCTGAGTCACTTGACTGGCACATGCCAAGCAAGGGTCGACCTTGCTGAGAGTCCTCCTCTCTCTGGGAGGTGCCGAAAGCAGGGGCGATGTGGGGGGCTCTCTGGGGTGCCCCCCAGAACTCTAGGCAGGGTACCTGCTCAGGACGCGAAGGTTAGTGGCGTCCACCTGGTTTATAAGCTCACTGTTCAAAATACTTCAAAGGAAATCAAGCAACAATACTTTTATTACTCATATATCGCCTCTGTAAAAAAAAAGGTAACACAAATGGAATCTCGAGTGTCTCCCCGTTAATCCCCGGTTTCCGGCCTTCTGGAGAGGCCGCGTGACGCTGACGGCATATGCGATCAGGGTGTCACTGGGTGAGTGGCAGAAATCACTCATGCGCCAGGTCACAGCCTTTCCAGTAGCTGTTGCCTCATAATCACAAGCACAGATCCCAGTGCTGGGGCTTGTTCGGGGTGGGTTCTGCGTTTTCACCAGAGCAGCAGACAGTGAGACACTGATGTCTCCCTGACAGACGCAGTGCCCACCATCCTGTTCTGGAATCTTTGGGTCTCTGGTCTCCTGGGCAGGCTCTGGGCTTTTTCCTCAGTTTAAAGGATGAAGTTTTAATTCTAGCCACAAGGTGGCACAACGGAACTTTCATTACATTTTCTAGCACTTGTGGCAATTTGGTGGTAGAGGCGAAATGTGATTTCCTTAGCATTTAATTTGATAAAAGATACTTAAAAATAGAAATTAAAATAATAAATCATCATAAAGGAGGGGAAATTGCCCAACCTCATAGAAATGAATTGCACTTATTAGCTTAATACTTGAGCTTGGGCTGGAACCACATGCAATCTGCAAGGAAGAGAATCATTTTATGAAAAATTAAGAAAAGTATTATAATTTGACTATTCATCTCTAAGATTTTTAGAAGCTCTGATCACCCCATGTAGAAGCAGCAAATCTTACTAATTAACCACGACTGATTGAAGCAAAGTGTTACTAAAATATCTGTGTCTCTAATTCCACCTTTCTTTGATTAAGAGGGAAAAACCCACTGAGGTTTTTTGAGATCGAGGGTCTTTTCTTAGCAGGGGCACAGCAGAGGGTCTGAGTTCAGGTATCTGGGTGTGAAATTCAGTGTTGGGCCAAGAGTAAGTCTGTGACACTCCCCAAAGGACGGTCTGGAGCTCACACTGCTCTGGGACTGTGGGGACACCCCGGCATCTCAGCGCCTTCCCACCTACCCAGTCGGGCTGGTGGGGGCTGAAAGGCGCCATCAGTGGGGTTAGCTTCACAGGCTGGAGAGAGAACAGCCTGTGCTCACCCCCCCCGTGCCCTGCTCCCGGCTCTGCGGCTGCAGTCAGCCTGGCAGTTTGCACTTTCTGTGAAATGGGACAGTAAACCCTTGTCAGAGGCGAGAGCAGTCACACAGCAGTTAGCACAGCGCGGCACGCAGAGCTCAGCGAACAGCAGCGGGGAGTGTTTTTGAGATGCCACGTGTATCGCTGCTAAAATCTGGGGTCAGCAACATCTTGGTTTGCTGCCTTTGACGGAATCACACTCCACACAGCTCTGACAACACTCAGGGGCTGCCATGGTTAATTTTATCTGCCAAGTGGTTCGGCCACGCTGCTCAGATAGTTGCAACACCAGTCTAAATGTCACTGTGAACGGATTTTTAGACGGGATTAACATTTAAATCACTAGACTCTGAGTAAAGCAGGCTGTGCCACTGCGTGGGTGGGCCTCGTCCAATCAGTTGACGAGGGATCCCTGAGGAAGCTGTGCTTCCACCACCTTTGGGCCTGAGCTGCAACACCAGCTCTGCCCACGGCCTCGTCTGCGGGCCTGACGGTCAGGGTCGCGCCTGCCAGCCCCCCGACTGCATGAGCCAGCATCCCTTAACACGAGTCTCCCTATATGTACACGTGCTGTTTGGTTCTGTCTCGTCGGAGAGCCCTAATCCAGGGGCCGTGTCAGAGCTGGGGTGACAATATGGTGACACGTGTGGAAGTTGAAGGGTCACGGGCAGTATGGACAACCTGACATGACATTGTCCTTATTACAATTCACGATACTCCAGCTTTACTTACATTATTTTTGCAAAAGCATGACGACACTTGCTGTTCAACTAGGAACCAAACAATAAAGGAAAGAACTGCGAGCACATTTGTGGTGCTGGAGGTGTTAACTTGAACGTAATGCAATTAAAGCCACAGGCATGTCTCTTGAGGAAACTGAAGCAGCGTTACTTCGCATAGACCCGTCCTCTGCTCTGACCGCTTGCGGCACTGTGAGCAAATCCCTCTGCATCTGAGCCCATTCCCAAGTTCACAAAATGGACAAAAGTCCTCGGGAAGTCCTAGGAGTCCCAGCTCTAAACCTAAAGTGTTCCTTAGGGCACCTGGTCTAGACCTGTGAGTCACATGATCCTCAAGTACCTCCTATCTGCCTAACTCTGACGAGGGGCAAGACACCAAGCGTGTCCGCCAGCCTCCGGCCCCGGCCTCCTTTCTCCTGCCTCTCTCTCTCTCCTCCTGCCTGCCTTCTGCAGATATGGAAGGCTCACTTGCGGGGAGAACTCCACACATGGAGGTTTCCCACAGTTGACCGCCACCCCTCTCTGCTGTCCTGGTTAATCCGTCTACTCCTGTCTCCGAGGTGGAAGCTCTGCTGCCTCTGTCCTCAGGCGGGGCCCGCACCCCAAGCCTGCCTCTCACTGAGCTTCCTGGGCGCGTCTGCGTGTCAGCCATGCTCTGGCCCTACAGAGCTCCGGGCTCGGTGAACGGGTCCCGCGTCCCCACACTGTGACCTCTGCCCAGCAGCCTCCAGCTCACTCCAGACCCCAGCGCTGTTCCGATCACTTGATTGATTATTGATCGATCATTGGGAGTGACCCATGACCTGGCTCAGTCAGAAGCAGCATGAGTCAACAGGGTACAATTTACGAGAACAGCATGCAGGAGCCCTACTCAGCCTATTCCCGAGAAAAGAACGCATTTGTACAAATAAGAGTGTCTCCACAAAAATAAATTTAGAAAGATTCCATACCTACTTATTTTCTACTTCATTTGACTCTAGAAAAAAATAACTTTTTTCATTTAACAGAAATATAAATGGAAATGGGTTCTTTCTCGAAGGAACTGCATCTTTAATGGAAATGTCAGGAATGAATGCATTTAACTTTACATATAACATTTGCAAGATATGAATTTAACCTTTCCTCTCATTCAGATGTTGCCGATTTTATGGATTTCCAAAAATATATGTAAAAACAAAGGGACAAACTCTGAGGCTGAAAATTGATAATTTTCCAAATCGGAGATAATCCCATAAAAGTCACTGGTATGTAATTTAAAGCTTTTGTTTTCTTTAAAAGGAAGCCAATTGTTGTCACTTATTCTCAGTTAAGCTAGCCATTAAGGCTTAAATCATTTTACGTTTAAACATACTGTTGGCGTAATTAGCCTCGAGGCTGCCATGCCTCTGACCATAACCTACAGCACATTCACACTGTGCCCCTGCAAGCCCGGCGCACACACAAGCGTGTGTGCATTTAAACATAAATAGCGGAAACAACAATTTCGTAGTGTGATGCCTACCCTCACTCTTGTGTGAGGCATGCTGGTCTTTTCTCTTCTATTTTATATGCTGGCTGGGACCCACTTAACTGAATTCATGGATTCCCAGTGGATTGCAAGCTGCCCCTTGAAAATCATTAGTGTGGACACACCTGTTAAGCAGTCTCCCTCTCCCAGTGTCCCAGACAGATCAGCACACTGCACACTCCTCCTCAGAGCGTCCACTGTGGGAGCGCTCCCCCTGGAAACTGGAGACCGCTGGTGGTCACCTCCAGGTATGCCTCGCTGCTCCCTCTCCTCTCTCTCCCCTGCCCTCCCCTCCCCTGCTAAGGCCTTTACTAAGCAGCTGCTCTGTCTGAAAGTACTGTGTCCTGTGGGTAGAAAGACTCAGGACGAGCGTTTGTTCTCCAAGGAGGTTTTACTCCAGGGGATCTGTCTACGGCCTAGGAATGGTTTCCAGCTCACTGTTCCTTTGCTGAACAATACAGAGGAAGTCTCATTCCTTGTCCACATAACAGGCTTCAGTGCGTGTAACCTCTGCTGCTCTTGAATTCACTTTTTTTCCCACAATATCTATACATTTTACTTTGAGGCCATTTTTTAAATGGAAAAATAATTTATATGCAGTGAAATATACAGATTTTAAGTGACAGTTGGATCGATTTTGACAAATGCATACCTGTGTAACTTTCCTATCAAGACAAAAAGGTTCCCTCATGCCTCTTCCTAATCAATGTCTCCTGACTAGAAGAAGTCACTGATCTGATTTGTATCATCACAGAATAATTTTATTTATATGACCAAACTCAACTAAAACTCCCAGGTCTAAAAACAACTTATTATAGAACTAAATATTGCTCTCTCTATATTTACAATATTTAAATTTTAGACCTAAGTCCAGAATTTCACTTTTGTGCTTGTTGAAATTAATCTTGGCTTTGCTTATTGTTCAAAAATTCAGTTAATTTTAGGTTTTGTAATCTAGCGTATTTTAAACCATCTCTTCTTGCTTTGTGTCAACTGCCAGTTTGAAGATCACATGGTTTGTGTCTCCATCAAAATCCTGATGGAATCCAGAGCAGGGCATAGGGAGAAAAGTCCTAGGAGGCCGACCTGACTCCAGTACCCCACGGAGTCAGGCTGAGGTGACACTGGGGGTGACTCCGCGTCACCTGCTCCCTCGCGGCTTCATCGTCTCGTCCCTGTACCTCTGTCTGGATTGCATCTTCTGTTCTGTCCACTTGCCTCCCAGGGGATCGCATCCGTTCCCAACTGCCGATATGCCCGATATTATTGCCCCAGCTTCAACCTCTCCCCTGAACTCACGTTTCATTACCAGGCCACCTCCATCCATTCCATCTGGGGTCTAACTCTCACCTCAGACTAACATCCAAAAACAGAGCCTCTTTCTACCCGTCTTCCCCGCACTTACTCTCAGGTTTCCTATTTTACTCTTCCTGTTTCTCAGGCTTAAATCCTTGGCGTCCTCCTTGCTTCCTTTCTCGCTCTCATTTTCTTCAGACAAACAGCAAAAACAGGATCTCCCTTCCAAATCCATGCAGTATTTGCCCATTTTTAACCTGCTCCTGCACTGGCTCTGGCCCCCTGTCTCTGCCACGGATGGTCACGCTAACCCCCGTCTGGCCTCTGGCCTTCTCACTTGGGCTTCCTGTGCTCTGTTTTCCACACAGCAGGGAGGAGGGTATTTTTCAAACCAATCGCAAATAGGTCACACTCTGCACAAGATCTTCCATGGTTTTTACATCACAGCACAAATTGGGGTCTACACTGCAGCCTCCACGGCCCCCACCTCCATGACCTTGCCTCCTGCCTCGGCCTCCCCTTTTCTCCCGTCCTTCTGCGAGGCTTGTTCTCCATCACTCTGCCAGCTCAGGGCTTCCCAGTGTCCACCCTCCTGTGACACCCTGCCCTCCCCTGCCCCTCCTCCCCGTGCAGTCTGGGCCCCAGCGCACTTCTTCAGAGCAGCCCTTCCTGACCAGTCTAATTCATCCTCCTCAGTCTAATTCTGTTCATAGCATTATCACCTGCACACGTCGCACACTTATTGATCATTTCCCTCTTGGAATTTAAGCTCCACGTGCACTCGTATTTGTTTTAAAATGTTGTACTCTCCATGGCTAAACTGGTGCCTGAAACATGGCAGGGACTTAATAAATATCTGTGAATAAATGAATTAAATAGGTGAATCAGTGAGTGTCACACAGAATTAAGTGTGAGGTGAGGGAAACTTACACACAGCGTAAGGCATTGAGAAAAGGGTAGTAAAATTAAAAACATTCAAACATTCAAAAAGTTAAACATCTTTGTTTTGTATTTTTTCTAAAAAAAAAAAAGTGCCTCTAAATTTGAATTTGGCCATCTAAAAGGTTAAACTCTGAAGTATTTGTAACAGGAGACATGCTGAGGCCTGATTCTCAGACTGTCAGGCCAGTCCAGAGCTCCCCTGGGCCTGCCTGTCACGCGTGGCCAAGACGCACTGAACCGCGGGAAAGATGCATAGTAGCCGAAGTGTTTGATGATACAGTAATACCTTGGTTTGCGAGCATAATTCGTTCCAGAAACAAAGTACTCGTATTGCAAGACATCGCTTGTTTACCACACATTGAAATGTATTAAAAATGTCTGCTCGTCTTGCGGAACACTCGCAAACCACGTTACTTGCAATCCAAGGTTTTACTGTATTTAAGTTTACACACGAAGAGCCTGAGGAATGCTTTCTCTTTGCCCAATCAGGAGAGACAGGCTTCTAAAGACTAAGTCATCACCAATGAGAGACTCAGAGCTTATTTGATTCTAATTCCACATAAATTCTCCGGATTATTTTGATTTGTTAAAACATAAGGCCAGAAAATCATGAGTGCTGCACAGAGCAAGGGCTCCGATTCGCAGAGACACAGATGCGGCGTCTGTGTGCTCAACGTGAGAGCACTCACCTTGAACAGGTCGACCTTGCTGACGACGCTGAAGTTCATGTCCATGGCCAGGGCTAACTGCATCGCGGTGGGCAGGCCCTCGAGCAGGCTGCACTCATCTTCAGACAGGTAAACACATCAGCCCACAAAGCAGAATAATTAAGGAAAAACATCACCAACGTGCACAGGGAAAAATAAACAAAATGCCAAATACTTTTATACATAAACAGCAGTATCAAATTCTGTATTTTCATGTCTTCTATTGGCCAAACACACCTATCACAAGAGCGCCGTTACTTTCATGAGAGGAGTAGTTTCACTATTGATTACGCAATAGTTCTGAATCATCCAGAGCACGGTGCTTGCTAACATTTTAGACATGAAGTTTGGTGATCGTGGGACACAGGCTAGGGGACAAAGTGGTCGGCAAAAGGGTCTAGTTCTTGTCTTCTGAATCTGCGGGTCGCAGACCTACCATCCTAAGAATGGCAAATGACAAGGTGCACCGTGGGCATCTGAAAGCTCACAGAGCTGTCACTATCTTTCTTGACCTAATGACCTCCCTAAGGTAAGTACTCTCTTTTCTGCTTTGCAGAAAGAAGACAAAGAAAGTACAGAAGCTCAGAGGGGCCGTCAGGCCCTTGCTCCGTGGTGTGTAACTGCTGGGTGGTTGGGGGGATGCAATCTACAGAAGAAACGTGCTGAGCGAGTAAATTCCAACCGTTGTTACTTACTTGCTTATTCACTCAGTGAGTAGTGTGAATACTTTAAAGATTACTCTGCCTGTGAATTGAATGATGGATGGGCCTTCAGGCTGATAGAATGTTCCATAAACAAGCTCCCCGTTTTAGAGTCTAGTATGCTACCAGTTTCTGAGAGTGATTCTTCTTGATGTTTTCTTATATCCATTTAGAAAACAAAAACTTGCTATAGTATATCCTTATTTTGATTCCACCATTGATTCTAAATATGAAAATCCTTTCTGAAAAGACACAGCCCCTTGTTTCTGGGGGCGCTGTCTCCAGGAAGAGAGGGAGGGACGGCAGGGCTCCTTTGCTGCTCTTCCTGCTGTAAGATGCCCTGGGAGCCGCTGTGGGTGCTCCAGAGAGGCACGTGCCTTTCATATTTGGGAAGTCCCTAAACGTGGGGTGTGAGTCTGAAGAGTGGCAGAAAGGTGAAGGAAAGTTACAACACAGTCACAGGGACATAAAGTACAGCAGAGGGAATGTATCAGTGACATTGGAATAACCCCGAGAGGTGCCAGACATATCGGGGATCCCTGTGTAATCCACATAAATGTCTAACCACTACGCTGTACACCTGAAACAATGAAATATTGCCTGTGGACTGTAAATGCAAAGTACAGTAAGTAAAAACAAAAGGTCCCACTGCCGACGACCAGCGGTTCGCACCTGCTCTTGAAGGCCTCTGTGATTGAAGGGTCACGCTGTAATTTACACTCTGGAGGCAAGAGTTTGGCTTCTCAGTGGCACTAACTCCTATTTTTAGATGGGAAGGAGTACCAAACTAAAAGTTGAATCTGATTAATGTCAACGAGCAGACTTTTACTTTATAAGATTTAATAAAAGTTATTTTTACTGCAGCATTACTGCACTGAAAGTCCACACCATGGATTATTGGGGGTCTCTCGGGGAAACCGTGTGTCCCCGCAGCACGATGCCCTGAAGCTTGCCTCTTCCTGAGCCTGTGCTCTGGTCAGAGGGTGACGCCTCACAAGGGACTAGGGCTTGTTATAGCAAGTCTGAGCTCCACTTAGCTACCTGCTGGCTCTGTGCCCTTGGCCAGGTTTTCAGTTAGGAGCCCCCATTTCCTTGTCTCTAAAAGGGGTTAAAGACAGCTAATTTTCCCAATTCTTTTTTTTGGGGTGAAGACTGTAGGGAGCAATATAGGTAATACCTAGCACCAGGTAAGCACTAGAATAAAATTTAGCCTTTGCTCTTCTGGGATTTGCATCACCAGTAAGTTATGGCTGGATATTTAAGAAAAAAAAATCCCATGGTATTAAATTAATGCTTTAATGATCTTTCAGTTACTTTTCAATTTTCTGTTCAGCTCCAACTGGTCTCCGCTTCTACCTCACAGAACTTCCAACACACCACCTGGTTTGCAGAGATGTAATGAGCACCCTGTCACGCTTACCCAGCATTCTTTGCGAGTCCCATGTGTATTGATACCAAGTCCGAACCCGATTCTGCACGCTCTTAGGGACGGAGTAAGTGTTCAGATAGGCGATGGTGTGATCCACACAGACCCGGAAGTTGTTCTGATTGGCTGTCGCTGCCCCAATGACGTCTCGCATCTAAAAGTGAAAATAAGCTCACTGCACAACTGGCTGAGGAACTGGGCGAGTTACTAATAGCCCAGCTGAATTAAGGGCTCTTGCATGAAACGCTCCATTCTAACACTCTTGACGATTTGATTTTTAACACACTGCTATTGGGTGCTGATTTCAACCACTTCCATAAAATTTTGGGCAAACTGCATCCTCTTTTGGGCCCAATAAAGAAACAGTAAGACTTGTCTTATTTCCCACATGAGGTTTTTGTGATGATTCAGTCATGTTATGCATGTGACTACACACAATTCTTTGAAAACCTGCATATTATTGCAAAGACGTTAGTTGATTTTTAAAAAGTTACCCGGCTTGTGCTTATGAAAGGAAGGTATACAGAGAGCGAGCCATTAGCTGGCAGAGTGGCCAGTCTATTTTTTTTGTTGTTGTTGTGGCCAGCCTATTTTGAGTCTCCCTTTGAAAGCATCCTTCATAGGTTGCCCAGTGTGGCTGGCTGTGTAGACGCAATTCATCACGAAAGTGCAATCTCTGCACTTCGCTTTGTGTTGTTTGGATGGATAAAATCAAACCTCATCATGCTTGAGGCACAGCACTGAGCAGAAGCTGAAATTACTGAAGCATCTCCGACCGCTGTGACAATACTTAAGGAACTGTCAGGTTTTAGTTCTTCGATGTTTATAACTCAGCCATAAAAACCCACTCTAGGTTAAAAGCTGATCTTTAAGGTCTCAGCACAAAAGAGATATATAGCTCGACGCTTCCTCTTACAAAGAGGGAAGCAAGTGGCTGTGAATTTGCTTTGACAGTGGGTTTATAATGGAAGGAAAAGCAGCGCCTCGCTTTCACACTCTTAAGACTTTGCTCACGCCCTGTGGGAGCCGAGACTTTTCTGCTCATGAGGAGACGGCTCATCTTGGAAGTCTAGCTTAAACAGCTCTTTTATTATGACGCTCGCCTCAGCTTCCATGTTAGAGTTAGTAGGTTCTTCTCCATCAAAAGCATCTGCTGGCAGCGATGCAGGCAAACTGGACGCGTCCTTTCCAGCATCTGCCTCACTCCTCGGGGCTGTTCCAAATACTCTTCAGCAGCCTCCATTCCTAGCTCTTTCTCCAGGCTGCTCTTGACAGATGACGAACGTTGAACGTTTCCGAGTCATCTAATTTCATGACAACGGGGACATTAGGGGCTGGGCCGGGAGATTTAACAGTTTTAAATTGGAAACCAAGGGCCATGAAAAGCTTTTCTGATTGGTGTTGATGGTCCGGAACCTGCAGCGACAGTGACCTGAGTGGCTTACGGGCTGGGTTCGGTGGTGGTGGAGTTGGGCAGGCGTGTATTCCAGGGAAGTAGGTGAGGGCGTGAGAGGGAGCAAATGCCAGTCTCTGAGTCAAACCAGAGAACAGAGCACTGCATTCAAGAGGTGACGATCGGTCCTGGTGTGGTTTCGTGTGGTTATGGGTGGGGGTTTTGAATAAGCAGTGATTCTGTCCTGGGCCTTGTTGCTTTGCTTCGAACTGTTCTCCTCAGCGTCTATTCACACAAATCTTCAGGTCTCGCCTGAGTCTTTCTCCTGGGCTCTGGTACTGTGTCAGTGCCTTGCTAGCTTTCCCTGTTTCTGCTGGAACCTCAAATGCAATATAAAGGCAGGTGTGTTGTGGCAAATAAAGCAGCGCTTCTCAACTTTTTGGTGCATGTAAGTCACCTGAAGCTCTTGTGAAAATGCAGGTTTTAACTCCCTAGGTCTTGGGCAGGGCCTGACCTCTGAATTTCCCAAGTCATGCTGGTCTGGACACCACACTCCTCTGAGTAGCAAGACATAGTTTTTAATCTCGTGAAAATGGCCCTGGACACAGTGAATACAAATACATCAGATTTCACCATCGTTCTCTGTACCGTACTGTATGGCTCCAGCATGTGACTGAATGAATTACACGTATGAATGAGGGGGCGCCTCTTAAACTCTTTCAACTGGAGCTTCCTCATCTGTAAAACTGAGGGAACACTGAGTGTGCTGTCCTTACCTCACATGGAATCTATGAGAAATACATGAAATAATGTAATTTTGCTGTTTATAGTCAAATTATTTTGAATTGCAATTCTCTCTAAAGCAGCCTATTTTCAATCATTGTTAATGCAACCTCCCAGCCATTAAGATTATGATATTTTATACTTACAGTTTTTAACTGCTTGGCATTCATCCTCCCAAACCTACATATTTTCTAAATAGAGTTTCTTTTACAACCTTACCTTTCCCCACCCCATTACCGCGTTCAGGCTGCAGGAGCCATAAACCTGCAGTAAGCACGCCTTTTGCTTTCTGTACGTTGATGGTTTGCTACCTGGGACTACCTCTCTCAGAGTTAGCTAATTAATTTGTAGACATATCAAAGAACTCTCCTGGGAATGCACATTCCACACGCAAACTAACAAATGTAGGGGGTGCTCACATTCCTGGTCACTACCCACCTGCCATGGTCACCCCAGGAAGCAGGGACAGCTCCTAGGCCCCAGAGCCCCTGAAGTACACAAAACACCGAATCAGCACCGCCCCCGACTCCCTGTGGCTTCCTCCTCTTGGATCTGTTTATAGAACAGATTTGATGACAACCGCATCCTGATCTATTGGCCTCTCCATACCTAAATAATAACGAAACCTGTATTTTAAAACAGTACTACCCCCTCCAATTTGTATTATACTTTGATTAATCTTCATTGGCTATCTTCTTTGTTCAACCTCCTCCCCTGGCCGACTTCCTGTGCCTTTAGGATAAAGCCACATCTGTCATGTTCAGGGCTTTAAAATACCTTGTGCTTACGTCAATCTCTAACCTTATTTACAAGCGTCATTCACACCACTCCTTCTCGAACTCCTATTTCTCAAACCTTGTGCGTTATCACTGCCACCTTCCACACTCTGTTTCTGACTGATCGAACCACCTGTGTGTAACTACTGCATCTCATCTAATTTTTTAATCTCACCCGTTTCAAATGCATTCTCCTCCAAGAAGCCTCCTGGGAAGTTTCCCTTTTCGGAGCTAACACAGAGCTCTCAGACTCTGCCTGGTATTTATCAGAGATGGCAGGTCCCTGACCTTCATGAATGCAGGAGCTGAGCTTTGACGATTGGTGCTCAGCTTCAGATGGTAGAAAGAATAGTGGGTGTTAGTCATACCACTGTGAGTGTGGTGAGTGGGGACCAATCATCTTTCTAGTGTGAATAACCGTTTTGTGATTTTGTCTAACTCTACCCAGCACAAAGGTCTCAACATTTGCTCTCAAACATGGGGTATTTAAGTACCTCCTGGGGAAGTGTAGCTTCTAAAGATGCCGTGCTGTCGAGCGTTTCTCTGCCTGTGAATCTGGGCATTTGCAAAGATGCTGAGCTCTCTCTCTCCTTGGAAATGCCAGTTACCTTGCAATAGTTATTTACCCACCTGTTTTACTTTCTTACTAGGCTGTGATGCTGTGAGAACAGGACAAGGAGATGCCATAATAAACATTTATGAGCCAATGATTTATTAATTAAATTAATCTAGATGGCATTTGGTAACCTCTGCGTGAAGTGACCTCTGAGGTTGATTTTAACCCAGGGATTTTATCACAGTATTTGAAGTTTAAGTAAATAAACTTTAAGCTTTTAAAGATTTTCACGATGCTCCAAGTAAGACATTAACTTAGAAACTTGACTGTCTCTGCAGCTTCAACCTGACACTCACCGCGGAAAGGTCTCCTGATAGATTTCATGGTTTAAAAACTGAAAGGCATTAGTGGCCAATTCACAACCTCCTCCAGTCCATTAAAATAAATGGAATTAGTTTTAGAAAGCACCATCTAAATTTTGATTTTTCCTCTGTAAAGTTTATAAATACATGTTAGCTTTTTAAAAAATGACATCATTATATATCTAGGGAGTCATATCTCAATTTACCTGACCAATCAAGCTGGAGAACACAAAAACTCCTGAAAAAAAATTCAGCAGTTGAAAAACAATTTCAAATGAAGTTTGTGGCTCTGGGAGGCCCCCGATGGTAATTAAACTTCGAACGGCCCAGTAGTAACATCTCAGATACCTGTGAAGAGAGAAGATAGGCACACCTTGGTTTTTACTGTAACACTATGCTTGGGAGTATAGATTACTGCTACATATTAACACACTTCCTCATCAAGACTTTTTCTTTAGAGAGCACCGCAAAAACCACATGAGCTAATGTTCATTTCTTGCTAAACATCGTGAAGTGGCTCAGCAAACCCGGGGAGGTTGTTCACTAGCTGTTCCACTTATGTCTTGTTGAAGAACAACCAATCACTCCCAAGCTTAATGGTATGAACCAACCCGTTTCATTAGCTCAGAGCCTGTGGCTCAGGAGTCTGTAAAAGGCCCAGCAGAGGTGGCTAGCCTGGGCTTCCTCACAGCGTGGCGATCTCAGGGTAGGCGGACCTCTGACATGGGGGCTGCTTTTCCCAGGCAGGGCCGGGAGGCTTCTTATAACTCAGAAGTCCCGTAATGTCCATCTCTTGCCACACAGGTCGCTAAGGCCGGCCCGGAGCCAAGGGAAGGGATATAGGAACCCACCTCTCAATGGGAGGACAGCAGGGGAACTGCGACCGTCTTTACAGGACCGCGCTAGTGGATCGGGAGCCTAGGGCAGCGGTTCTCAACCTGTGGGTCGAGACCCCTTTGGGGGTCGAACGACCCTTTCACAAGGGTCACCTAAGACCATCAGAAAACAAAAAGATACTTACATTACGATTCATAACAGTAGCAAAATTACAGTTATAGAGTAGCAACGAAAATAATTTTATGGTTGGGGGTCACCACAACATGAGGAACTGTATTAAGGGGTCGCGGCATTAGGAAGGTTGAGAACCTCTGTTTTAGGGCTATTTACGCAGGTGGGGGAGTCTCTTACAGTTTAGGTCCAATTGTTTATACTGATGGAAACTACAGCAGGTTGTCTTTTCTGCCTGCATCCCATTGTATCATTGAATGTGTAAACCACGGGAGGGACAGAGGAGAACTGAGCTCCACCTCAAAAGGCCAATTACTCTTGTGGGATAGGTAATTTACCTAGAAATTCAGTGTTGAAGAAAACCAAGTAGGCTCAGGAATATACTTGGTAAAGATTCTGTACTTGACTTGAGCAACTGCAAATGGAGAGACGGGTCTTTCTAGCCCAGGGAGGAAGAGAATCAGGGACCCGGGCATCAGAGAGGAAGACTGTAAAGATTAGGACAGAACATGTACGATTCGCTTAGCTCTGTTGGCTGAGGGTTTCACGGAGTCCCAAGTGAGGAGGGAAGGGAAGTTCCCACACAACCCACTGTGCAGGCTAACTTTTGTGCATGATCAGGAATACTGTTATATACAGTGCACGTAACCTGGTCTGAGGCGGGCATTCCACGGAACACTGCAAGGACAATGTTTTGTCTGTAGAAGCATCTCCAGGTATCATTATCAAGAGGCATCTGGAGTTAGTGGGTCCCAACTGACTCCTCTGGTCTCCAGGGCAGACGCAGAAAAGGAGCCCGTTTTACAGAGTCCTGCCCCAGTTGGGCTTTCGCTTCTGGTCTAGGTGTGTCACATATTGTACCAGCACTTTAAGTAACTGTATATTAGTTTCTGAACTAGGGTGGTCTTTTTCTTATGAAAATAGTTTATAAGTTTCAGATATTCAAGTAGTAAGAAGTTAAAGTTTACAAAGAAAAAAAATCAAACTGCAGTTTAAGTCAATATTCAAACAAAAACAGAAAAGAAATCGCTCATTTTGAAGTTCAATACCTTTCGAAGGACATTTTTTTTTTTAACCTGGTGGATATAGGAAGAAAAAAGTAATGAATTCTGGTAGGGTTTGAAACCACTGTGGCAAGGGAATAAAGATATTACCACTCTGCAATTTTTTTCTAGCAGGCTTCCTTGGACTTACTAATATTATAGTGAACTTGATGTCAAGGAGAACCACCTTGAAGAAGTATGGAATAAATTTTATGGATTGCATTTTAACTTTCAAATTCCAATTTATAATTTCCCGTTACCTGATTTATTTTGGTCACAGGTCCTGGACCGGTGGGTGTCTTTAAATTAAGAAACTTTACTGAACCCAGTACTACCCGAGAGTAGGACAAGGAATATCTTCTTTCCCTATGTGACCAACCCCATCACCAGTGTTGGGATGGCTGTAGTAATAATCCAAGTCACTGTAGCATTAACAGGAACAAACATAGGAACTACTTTCTCTCAATTTCTTTTCCTTCAATTTCTTATTTATGGACTTTAAATAACAATCAAATGTGAAACTTAGGTATTGATTTTTCCAAATCTGGACGGATAGCCTTGAACTATTTTTTCGTATATGAAATAGTCTGCTGTGTTAACGGGAAGTTTTCTTCCCTGATGCTTTGAGGTTTATTTTAGGATTCTTTTCTCAGTCATGTCTTATACTCAGATACGCACAACCGATGGTAAGATCTGTAACTGAATTATTATATGGCATCTTATTGATTTTCTAGGATTAGCTTAATTAGTCAAGTGTGTCCATCTCTAATATTTACACCCCAGGTAGACAGATCTTTCCCAGGACTTTCTATCTCGCTGATTTAAACATGAGCTATCTAACAGACCGTGTATGTGTGTATATCCTGTCAGCTCCAAGTTAAAGCACTAAGGCAGAATTTGACATAAGACCATAAAAACCATTTAGTGTGAAACAGAAATTCTTCCTCTGTGAAACAAACGTGACATGAAACTTTCCCTCAGTATTTTGTTATGAAAAATTTCAAACAGAAAAATTGAAAGAATTTTCCAGTGAACAGCCACATATCCACCTGGATTCTACCATGGACACTTTATTCTACCTATTTGTCACACAATTCTCCATTTTTCCATCCATTAATCCATTTTAGTTTTTGGATGCATTTCAAACTAATTTTTGCACAGTAAGACACTTCCTCCTAAATACAGTACTTTAGAATATACGTGTTAACTAGAGTTCAATTTTTATAGTTATTTTGAACATATGATAAAAGCACAAATATGAAGTGTACCATTTGATGAACTTTGACACATGCATACACTTGTGTAGCCCAAACACATATCAAGACATAGAGCTTCCATCACTCCAGAAAGCTCTCCTATTCTTTTTTTTTATTATTTTTTTTATTTTATTTTTTATTGGTGAATTGGGGGATGGGAACAGTGCTGGGGAATTGGGGGAAGGGGGACAGACAAGTTGCTGTCGTTTTTGTTCTTCAGTCTAGTTGTGGAGGATGTTGCTTCACTGGCCCAAGTTGGCACCATCATTGCGCTCTTCCCAGGTGAGGCAGATCAGTCGCCGGCTTCTGGACGGCCGCTCACTGCGGCTGCTGGCCGCTCACGCTGGCTGCTGGCTACACACGGTAGCCCATGGCAACCCACTGCCATAGGGACTGCAGCCCACGCCGTCGCCGGCGACTCACAGCAGCCCAGCTCCAGGTTGAGCTGTTGTTCAGCATCTTAGCTGTAGAGGGCAGTGTCACTGGCCCTCATATGTGGGATCCGAACCGGGGCCCTCTGGCATCCCAAGCGAGTTCTTAACCATCGCGCCACTCGGCCGGCCCTCCTATTCTTTTTCTTAGTCAATCCCTGAGCCCAAAGGCAAGCACTATTCTAATTTTTCTACCATAGATGAGTTGTGCTTGTTTTAGAATTTCGCATAAATGAAATCAGTGGTATAGTTTTGTGGGTGATGTCTTTCACTCGGCATCATGTTTTTGGGATTTACCCATGCTGCTGTGTGGGTCAGTGATTCCTTCCTTTGATTGCTGAATAGTATCTGTTGTATGACTGTAGCACAGTTTGCTTATCTTTTCTGACACAGATGAAGACCTAGGCTGTCTCAAGGTTTTGGTTATTATGAATAGACATCCTATCAATATACTCACATAAGTTTTTTTTTATAGACATCTATTTTCATTTCTCTTAGGTAAATATTTAGGCTTGGAGTTTTTGTTTGTAAGGTAGGAGTATGTTTAGTTGTCATGAAGCGGTCAGATCGTTCCTGAAGTGGCTGTACCATTTCACATGCCTGCCAACATGAATGAGCATTTCAGTCCCTCCATACTCCTACCCCAACACTGGGGACTGCCAGTCTTCTTAATGTTAGCCATTGTGGTGGGTGTGTAGTGGGACATGCAGCTTTCAAAAGTTCCCAACTGAATACTGTATATGTGGAGCTTCTTAACTACTCCGATCCACCTTAGTTCCAGGTTTCTGTCAAGTCATCATTGGAAGCAGCAAGTATGGGGGAGATTGGTCTCATTAGGAGATAAGGTCTAAAAGACAGGCATTGTGAACCTAGTCCTTAGGAGGAGCTTAGTAATATGTGTTGAATGATATGGAGGAATAAGCAAATGGCTCTGCACGCCTGGACTGACTGAAATGAGGACACAGGAGGGCTGCATCTGGGGGACCCTCTGTGCCTCCCCGCCCGCTCCTCCCTGAGAGCTGCCAGCTGCCTTTCATCTCCCTCTGGTCCACTCACCTCTCTACTGAACTGGTGTTTTTATTACATCTGAAGGGTGTCTAGTGTCTACTGTAAAGACCATTTTTTTTTATCAGTATCTGCACTGAAGTATCTAGGGGACCCTGAATAAATACCTTCATCAACTTAGATCTCATCATCTTCACATATAAAATAAAGGGGGTGAGTTACCCTGTATTTCCCTAGCGCTAAGCTACAGGACTTCTGATTACTTCCTCACTCTGTCTAAAGTCATGATCCCCGTGATAGCCCTGCTTGGTTTCTTACTCGTTCCTTTGAGGGTCTGTGTTAGGGGTTGGGGCTCAGGATTTCCACGCTAGGAAATTTATGTCAGAAAATAAAAATATGGACAAAAGTTCACTGGGAGCGTTTCTGGGTGCCAATCAACCATAACTACTTGCTTTCCTTTTGGGCTAAGCCCTTTCCTTCTTTGTCAAATTTCACAGCCTAATAAAGGATGCCATCTTCTCAATACAAATGAAAGTGGCTTCTTGTCTTCTGTTGAAATGCATAGACATTGTTATTCCGGTGCAGATTAATGGGACAGTAATAAA